GGGGAGGAAGAAGAGTAAGAAAAGATAGAGGTCAGGTTAGGTTAGGTAAGATTCGTCAGGAAACAGGACAAGTGTTTCCTAACGAGGGTCTTAAGATGGCCCACTAACCGAGCTTTTGGTCATCGACCGTGACCTTTCACTGTTTACCGCCCCACTCCTTTAAAAATTAAAATATATATAATAGAAAGATAGAGAGAAGAGTTAGAAAGTCCAAGTCGAACTGAAATGTCCGAACACAAGCCTCTCTCTTCTGTGTGAGTGTTATTTGTGTATTGTTCCAGTCACGGTATTGTTCCTTTTTGTTCTCCATAGAAGGAAAGGGGGACAAAGCCAGTGAGGGGCAGAAGCAGAGGAAGATGTAGAGAGAAACTGTGAGCACAGAACACAGAAAAAACAAGAGATCTTACACTACTTGCCAAGGCTGCGTGTATGGGAGGCAGGTGAAGGAAGACCAGAAAGAGAAGCAGGAATAGTTAGAGAAATACGCATGGAAAGAGGGAGAGGCATAGAGCAATAGAGAGGCAGTGTGGAAAAGTGGGTGAAAACGTCTTACCTTTGAGGATGGAAGGCAGCTCCTGGTCCCCACGCACCTGCCTGAGACGCATGTAGGAACCGAGCAGGTGGGAGTGAAGCACACCTAGGAACACCTCAACGCCTCCCTCAGGTAGACCCTGAGATCAGACAAGATGACAGAACGCGTATTCGTGGCAGCGCAATATTTGTAAAAATAATAAATGAAGGAAGAAATGTATGTAGTACAAGTGCAATATACAAGTGCATTACGAGTGTACCTGATGAATACAGGGTGGGTACAAGGACAAGGCTTACTTATGGTACAGAGACAATGCTTACCTGCCGGGTACAGTCTGACTGACATATCCCAACACTGAGCCACTCTCTGTGTGGTGGGATGATGGTGAGGGGACTGATGGCCTGACCCAGCATAATAACCCCAGCGTCATACTGTCGTAGATTTTCGGTGTAAAAGATCCTCAGACCAACAGTCCACGATGCCTGCAGAGACAACCAGGAGAGCATCAACCAAGGCTCTCTAACGCTCGTGCAGGACGCTTGACAGAAGGAATTAGTTTCCTTTCATATATTAAACCTGATTACCTCCCACTTCCAGGTGCTGTATAACTCTTGCGGATTTTGTGCTTTTCCTCCCGAACATATTACTACTACCACCAGAGGCCTGGTCACAGACCGGCCGCGGGGGCGTTGACCCCCGAACTCTCTCCAGGTAAACTCCAGGTAAACCACCACTACTACTACTACTACTAATAATAATAATAATAATAATAGTAACTGTCGACATTCAAAAGGATTTCACCAGTAGTGTGTGTGTGTGTAGGTTTGTAGGAGGCGCATAGGAGCTGGTGGCTCACCTGGCTGAGGCTCACCTGGCTGGTGGCTCACCTGGCTGGAGGCTCACCTGCTGGAGGCTGGGGTTATCGTAATGAGTCTCCATCAGGAAGTACGTGGCTCCTGAGTACTCTTCTCCCAGAGGAAGGCTGTAGTTTCTGGTACATCTCTCCTGCAGGAAGAGACACCGTTTAAAGGCAAACTTACCAGTGTCTCGGTATTCATTAGTCTGTCTCTATCTCTCAAACATCCATTAGCCTCTCCCATTAGTGTAATGCATTTATAGTTTCTCTAACCTTGCGAGCCGACAGCCCAGGCGAACACAGGAGTGGAACAGTAGGTCCAGGAGACTGGCATACGGGACCATAGCACTGTACTCCTTGTACCTCCAGCCATTTCTCGTAATAGTGACTACTGCTGAGCTGGTCACTCCCCAGGAACGTGGCACTCGTACAGCAACACGTGGTAAACGTTTCTGTACGTTCCTCCTCTTCTACACGGGAAAAAACTGAAAGAGATGAACGGTGTGAACACAGTGTTAACCCAGACACTATTTAGGTACAACCATGGAATGAGATTGTTTTTGTTGTAGATGTGTACCACTGAGTTACAGACAGAGATGTAGATGACAACTGGACAAAGCCGACATGCAAGAAGCTTGTGGATGAAAAACTGGACTAAAGCTGACATGCAAGAAGCTTGTGGATGAAGAACTGGACTAAAGCCGACATGCAAGAAGCTTGTGGATGAAAAACTGGACTAAAGCTGACATGCAAGAAGCTTGTGGATGAAGAACTGGACTAAAGCTGACATGCAAGAAGCTTGTGATGAAAAACTGGACTAAAGCCGACATGCAAGAAGCTTGTGATGAAGCAGTGGACTAAAGCGACATGCAAGAAGCTTGTGGAAAAAACTGGACTAAAGCCGACAAAAAAAGAAGCTTGTGGATGAAGCAGTGGACTAAAGCGACATGCAAGAAGCTTGTGGATGAAGAACTGGACAAAGCTGACATGCAAAAGCTTGTGGAGAAGAACTGGACTAAAGCTGACATGCAAGAAGCTTGTGTATGGGGCACTGGACTAAAGCTGACATTCAGGAAGCTTGTGGATGAAGCACTGGACTAAAGCCGACATGTAGGAGCATTGGATGAAAACAACATTGACTGACAGGGTACAATGGAGACAACAGTAGTCCACATCAAACTTTATGGGAAAAAGTTTATTAAACAGTGGATCACAGTTAAGAAAAAGGCATAAAGTTTCAGCAGTGGGCTTCAGTGGAGACACCAGTGGCACAGAAAGTAGAGTGCAGAATATTAGGAAATGACGACGTGTGAAGGCTGAGGGACAAATTACCCTCAAATTACCCCTCCACTTCGCCTATATTCGACTGAAAAAGCCGCTGTGCAGGCGAAACGTTTCGGCAATAGAGATAATTAAGAACTGTACTGATAGGGGTTGATTTAAGTGGGACTTACACATGAGTTAATAGTGTTTTCAGAGCTGTGTAGCATTGAAAACGGTTGGGCAGATATTTTTTTTAGTGGGTTTGGGTTTGAGAAAGACGTGCCTAGTATGGGCCAGTAGGCCTGCTGCAGTGTTCCTCCTTTCTTATGTTCTTATATATATATTCAGACTGCGCCACCACAGCCGTCACTCACCCCGATGACTTGAGATTACCAGCGTGCAGGAATCTTGAACATTTTGCACCATAGAGTGTCGACTGATCGCTAGGTAGAGTTACCTGAAACACATACCAAAGATTTGAACCCAGTGATACAGAGGAGGATACATACTTCTGATACAGAGGAGGATACATACTTCTGATACAGAGAAGGATACATACTTCTGATACGATCACAGTGAGCGCCAGCAAAGGTGTTCTCTGTGATCGTATCTGCTGGAACCTCTTCCTCTTTTCTGAAATATTGCAAGTTCCTGATGATGTGTTGATTGCAACACGAAAGGCCTAGAGCTATCATTCACCTCTCCCCCCCCCCACGTGGTTGCTTTGTACATAGCATCATATGTGTAGATTATATAGGATAACTACCCAAAACAAGTAAGACAAAGTGACTTATGTCCATTGGGGTCCTGGGTCTTGACCTGACCTCACCTCTGGCTTCAACCTGATTGCACTTTCCATTTCCCAGACGCTGTATAACCCGTATGGGTTTAACACGCCCACTTAAATGTAATAATAATATTGAACATCCCGAGAAAGCACAGCTACGTACGTTAGGATTGAGAAGATCCCAGGTCTTGACATCCTGGTCTAGGTCAGGGTAGACGAGTACTGGTGCTTGCAGAAGAGTACTCCAGGTGCCACGGTCGTCGTGTTTCGTCATCGTCATCTCGTTCATCGGGTCGTGGCTAGAGTACGACCATATCAACCTCACTGTCTCCTCCTGCCAGTCAAGACGTACATAAGATCAATCTTACGATGAGGTACGACTTACCTCACTCATTCCTTTACTGGTTCACGTTGGGATAATTTTTATTTTAACGTATATTACATATTTTATGCATATTTTTTTACATTATCACCCCTCAACCTATTTCAAAACCTGGCCATATATATGGTATACAACCACCCGCTATCCCCAGGATGCCACCATGAGTGGGTGACTTACTGAGAGCTGGAGGTCACCATGAGGGTCACAGGTGACCCAGGGTCGGGAGAACCTCAACACTGTGTGGGTGTCATTCTGGAAACCTCCCAGCAACTCCACATCCTGGGACTCGTCTATGTTTGGCACTCCGTAGGCCGTGGAGTGCCGATCCTGCCAACACAAGTCTATCATAACACTTTGGTCAAAACATCCTCTGAATAAAAGAATTAGACACATGTGCAACATCTGGATATCTTTATTTGTAGATGTTTCGCCATCCAGTGGCTTTATCAATACAAGGCAAGGATATAATGTGAAGACTGTAGAATTATATACAAAATGTAAGGTAATACAGTCCCTCAGCCTTGGAGTTGG